AAGTGGGACATTTGGGCACCTTCTTAGTTTAACTAATTATTCTTCACGGTTAGGAGCCAATGTATGTTTGGCATTTTAAAAGCCTGATTACTAGAAGATGGAGGTGGAGTGGTATCTTTATAGCACACTAGGGATATACTTTTGGAGGAGGGATTAAAACCATCTCCCCTACTCACTGTCATACATACCAAAAAAACCCTCAAAGTATCATGTTAGAGATGGAAGTTACCTTAAAGATCACTGAGTCCAGGGGTGTCCGACACACAGGCTGCCAGCCCTGTGCAGCAAAACTCCCCAGTGTGGCCAGAACCAGATTAAAATGTAATTGGGAAATATTTAACAAAATAAATAAAAATACCATAAAACATAGATAATGTTAATATGTGGTTTTCTAAGTCAATTACAGGGATCCTTACATATGGTTTAGTTGTTCCCATTTCTATTTGAATTTGATACCATTTACCTAGTTCTGCCCTTTCATTTTACAGAGAAGGAAGCTGTAGCCCCAGAGAGAAGTGACTTGACCAAGGTCACAGAGGGAGGCTCATGCAGCTCAAACTGATTTTGACCCTGAGCTAGAGGAGAATCAGAAGGAGCTCAGATTTCATAGACTTATGGATCATTAAGAGTTGGAAGCAATCTTAGGGACCACCTTGCCAAGCTCGCTCATTTTACTTTTATCTTATAAGTGCTATATGAATGTTGGTTATAATTTCACTGAGGAAGGTATTACAACCAGTGATAAAAAGAAAATAAAAACAACTTAGCAAACTGAGATACCTTTAGAAATCTTTAAGAGCTTCTGACTTTTAGGCATTTACTTAGACAATATCAACCTCTAGCTCTAGCCTAAGGGAGCACCTCAGGTTTATTTCTCTAGTCTAATTTAATTTTAATATTTAAAAATATTTTCCCAACATCCTCATTTTACAGATGAGGAAACATAGACCTAGAGTTAGTGTCGAAGCTGGGATTAGAACCCAGGTCTTTTGACTGCTAGTGTATACTATAAAATGTTTAGCACAATGCCTGGTACATAGTAAGCACTATCTAGTTATGATGATGATGATGGGGATTTTTGTCCAGGTGCGGGTTGGCCACTGAAGACCCTTCCAACTCTGAGATTCTGAAAAGATTAAATTTAGCAGGATAAAGATAAGGTATTACATTTAAATTAAGCTACAATTAGTAGTACATTTAGATTTTAAAAGTTAACCAACCTTTTCAGAAAAGTGACTCCTGGTATTATGATTCAGGAGAAACAGCTAAGGAGGGGTAGGACTGTCCCTTAATACTTTCATGTATACTCTGGTCCCCAAGGTCACCCACTCTTCTGGCTCCCTGGGAAGGTTTGAGCAGCCTAGAGGTAATGGGGCAAAAGTTTCATGGCAAAGAGAAGATCCCTAGGATGGAAGGTAGAGGCAAAAAGGCTTTTTAACAGTGACTGAGTTGTCTCTTCCTAGAGCATAGGCCTAGGTGTCATGACATGCCACCCTTAGAATAGTCAACTATACTTCAATTCCAACATTTTCCCCAAATCCTAGCCCCTCTCAGTTTCAAAAACCGTAAAGGGCAAAAAAAAAAAAAAAAAAAAAAAAAAGGAAAGGTCCCTGGTATCAGAATGGCAGAGTTGATTCCAGGAAAGCATGGCTCTCTGGTAGAAGCCAGGGTGCTCTCCTCCTTTCTTCACTTTGCTTATCTCCTAAAGGACCTCTTAGTAAGCCACGTGTTTTATATCTGTGAATATTTATATATATATATATATATATATATATATATATGTATATACATATACATATATATGTATGTATGTATATACACACACATATGTATGCATGCATGTATGTATATATGATTTGTTACATATGTGTACCTATGTATGTATATATGTGGATGTATAGCTATAGATATGTCTATAAATACATTTTATTTTTTCAATGAACATAAATCTATTTTCTCTCCCTCAAACTACCCTTCCCTATTGAAAAGAAAAAGAAAATTTTTGTAACAAATAAGCAAAATCAAACAAAACTAATCTCAGTGGCAATGTTGAATAAATGTTTCATTCTGCACCCTGAGTCCATCAACTCTCTGTCAGGAGCTAGGTAGGTAAAGTGCTTCATCGTTGGTTCTCTGGAATCATGGTTGGCTATTGCAACCATCTGAGTTCTTGAGTTTTTCCAAACTATTTGCCTTTACAATGTTGTTTTATATTAATTGTTCCCAATCTGTGTCATTTCATCCAATTCTTTTCAGGTTTCTCTGAAATCATGCCTTGCATTGTTTCTTATAGCAAAATAGTATTCTGTCACCTTTATGTACCATAATTTGTTTTGTTGTTTTTTAGTTGTTTTGGTAATGTCTGACTCTTTGTGACTCCATGTTTTCTTGGCAAGGATACTGGAGTGTTTTGCCATTTCCTTCCCCAGCTCATTTTACAGATGAGGAAACTGAGGCAAATGGGGTTAAATAACTTGTCCAGGGTCACATAGCTAGTAAGTATCTGAGGCTAGATTTGAACTCAGGTCTTCCTGACTCCAAGTCTGATGCTCTATCCACCACACCAGTAACATTAATAGGCACCTCCATATTTTCCAATTATTTCCTAACACAAAAAGAGCCGCTATAAATATATTCGTGCAGGAAATATTTTGTACAGTATTTTTCCTCTTTCTTTGAACTTTTGGGAATCAATTACAGAGGGAGAAGAGGAAACTTCTCACCATAGTCCAGGTTTTACTCAGTTACCTCTGAAATGCGATGACATGCTGCTCCTGCCAGACAATAGCTAAGAGGAATCCCAGAATATAAAGCTTCGTCTCAGCAGGATTTTGAACTAAATCAAAATAAACTGAGCAAAGCTGAGGGGCCAGTGCCCTGATCATTGATTATGAAAGAGGCTTCTTAAACCAATTGTGGGCAAGACCATTCGCAGCCTTCACCGGACTCTCGGCTCCCTTTTAGTGCTAAATCTATGATTCTATGAATAAAGAACAATTATAGATGACCAGGAAGATGGTTTCTACCATCCTTTTGGAGCTGGCCGGCCTTAATGAGTCACTAAGCTATTCTTTTCTATTCAATTACATTCACATTTATTAAGCCCCTACTTTGTTCTAGGCCAGGGCTTCTTAGCCTTTGTATCACATTTCCCTTTGGCAGTCTGGCAAAGCCCTTGGACCCCTTCTGAGGAAAAAAAAAAGCTTTTTAAAAAATTGAAGGAAATGCTAAATTTCAGTTACAGGTTGGTAAAAATAAAGATATATATTTTCCCCATCCAAGTTCATAGATCGCTTACAATCTATCCCTAGATCCTTGGGGGGGAGTGCAGGGGCTCCAAGTTAAGTTCTAGTCAATAGAGCTCTAAAGATAGACAGGACTCTGGTTCTGCTCTCAAGGAGCTAGTAATTTAATAGAGGGAAGGACAAGTACATAAATAATTGTGATCAAGGGAGAGTGTGATAAGTGCAAAAGTCCAGATAATGTAATATGAGACATTTTAGTAGGGAGAGATAATTTTTTGCCTTGATGGATGGGTGTGGCGGTGATCAGTGAAAACTCCACAGAGATGTGGCAGTTCAGTTGGGTCTAGAAGGCAGGAGGGAGGGAAGAAGAGACCTTAAGCTGCAGGGTTGTTGCTGTTGTTGTTTGTCCTTTGTTTTCAAAGAGGACCAAGGACATCACGGGATGATGTCTTGAGTTGTGCATGAATTGGATTTAAGTGAGGCGGAATTGCACAAAGTCGTCAGTTTCACTCTCTCTTCCAGAGTTATCAAAGTCCAGCGGCAAGACACAAGTCAAGATAACTGGTGATGGCCTGGGATGCCATGGACGACCTTGTTGTCTTTGATAACTGACCAAGCTCTAAGTGCTCCATAGTGCCTACTTCAGCCCCTTTACTGCCAATGGAACAAATTATTCTCATCTGCCTTTTCTGTGGGAGGAAGTCTTCACACACATGGGGTAGATACTCCCCTGACTCACCAGTGGGTTTGAGACCTGTTGGTTACCTTTAACCTGATATAGCCCATCTGTCAAGATAGTTTTAGTGGGATGTGGCATGCTATACCTTCTTGGAGCCACAGGTGAGAGTAGAGTGCCAGGGAGACACCAAAGGTGGATGAGCAACCCTGGAAAGGGCTCAGCAAGCCCTCACACCAGAGATGCTAGTCCTTCTTGAACACCCTATTCACCTCCAGTTGAGCTGGTACTCAAATGAAGACTTGACTCCTTCCCCTTCACCAGATTGCCACTCTTGATTTCAATCATTCCCTGCACCATCTCAACAACTTTTTGAATCTAAGTTCTGTGACTCAACATATTAGCTCTCCTTGTTAACTTCTAGTTATTTGTGGAACTGATAAGGATGTCCACCATTTGTCTTTATCTAAGTCATCAATAAATGCAACTTAGTGTAGAGATGCTACTAACCTAGTGTAGGTATACCACTAGGAAGATCTCTTTGGGTTGATAAAAATTTATTGGTCAACATTATTTGGGTACAATTGTTCAACCAGTATCTTACTGATAGTACTATTGCTCCTTTTTTCTACCTTCTTTCTCCTCTGGGATCCAAAGACTTAAAAGCAATAGAGAGAGCAGTGGACTTAAAGCCAAATGATTGAGGTTAAAATCTGTCAGTTGAGTTGGACAAGTTACTTTATGTCTCTGGGCCTCAGTTTCTTCATCTACAAAGAGGGAAGTTTGGAATAGACAATCACTAAGGTTCTTTCTAGCTCTAAATTCTATGGCTAAAGAAAATAATTGTCATTCAATTGCAGCTTTGAGCTTCACAACCAGAATATTGACTTAACTATGAGAAAATGGAACTGTTGAGATGATACCAACCGAGCACATGCTGTCTTTGTCTTCTCTTTAAAGAAGCTTGTGTTGATTGACTGAGTCACCATCATGAAATCCCAAGAGGCATTACATTTTAACCACTGTGTAAAGAAGGCTCTTTCATAATCAATGATCAGGGCACTGGACCCTCAGCTTTGCTCAGTTTATTTTGATTTAGTTCAAAATCCTGTTGAGATGAAGCTTTATATCCTGGGATTCCTTTTAGCTATTGTCTGGCAGGAGCAGCATGTCATCGCGCTTCAGAGGTAACTGAGTAGAACCTGGACTGTGGTTAGAAGTTTTTCCCCTCTCCCTTCCAGCTGAATTAATATATTGAATCAAACTAGTGCATAGGACTAAGGAATCTGATACTAAAAGTCCAGCCAGGTTCCTAACTATGCATATTAATTGCCCCCAGAGCTGTAACAAGGAATTTTTAAGCCTAGGACAAGTACCACAAACCATCTCCTAGGGCAAACTGACCTCAGTTGAGGTGGGGACCAAGACTTGGGATGAAATAAAAGTCTACAGTACTGTTCAGGAGGCCACTGAGGGGGTGGGACAACAGGCCAGGAACTACTATTTAATAGCTTCATATTTTATTATTCTTGCTAATTAGATGCTAAGTTTTACTGTTTCCATGATGCACAAAGACTACAGATTCTGTCAGCACTCTCTAAATTTATCTCCCTGGAGCAAAACCCACTCACCTATCTTAGTTATGGCTCTGGTTACCATGAGTGAGGTAGCAGCTTTTAATCTAATCTGGTGCCCTTAGATTCAGTGTCCTCATTGTGGTTTTAGTTCCAGTTTAGAAGAGAAGAAAGACCTTGAGAAAATATGGAGATTAAAGAGATATAGTATTTAAAGAAAAAAGAAAATATTTGAAGCTCCCAAACATCTAATGCTGATGTGAATGTTTCCTAGTATCATATGTAAATGGAGATAGTTTGAAAATGGGACGCTGAAGTGGGGGAGAAGGGAATATTGGAGAAGGTAGGTAATTATAATAATAGCTCACATTTGCATAATCCTTTAAGTTTTCTAAAGCACTTTTTTACCAACAGCATTATGAAGTGGGTAGTAGACATTTTATTAACCCCCTTTAGCTAAAGAAATAGCCTCCAAGAGTTTGTGATTTTCCCAGTCACACAGAAAGTATCAGAACCCAGACTTGAACCTTGGTCTTCTGATCAGAAGCCCTGCGCTTTTCCCTCTGTGTAATATAGATTTGGATTGTGCAGTGGGGAAAGCATTGTATGGAATTCAGGAGAGCAAAGTTCCATTCTTGGCTCTGCTACTAACTCGTTAGCTCTATGGTCCCAGGTAAATCATTCGACCTGTTCGAGGCACTGTAAAGTGTAAATGAGGGAGTTTATTTATGAAATGAGATTTCTATTGAATAGTCTCCAATGTCCTTTCCCATGGCTAAAAGTCTATGATTTGTAACATATGAGAACAGTATTTACGTACATCTAATTCACCGCTGCCTTAAGAGCTGGAGAGCCATTAGGGTTTTTGAAAGTGCCATGATAAGATGTATAGACAATTCTGAGATCCATGTTTTTGCCTCTTCTAATTATTTGTGGCATTGGTATGTTCATTTCTGTGTATAAGAATATACCACATTTTCAAAAAAATTTAATCTGAAATTTCATTACTAGCATTAGTAGCACAAGTGATAGTAAGTTCTTATCCCAGTTTGTTGGGTCTTTGGGTTTATTGGATGCAACACCAATGTTTTGGGTTTATTGGACACTATATTAATGTTTACCAACTTTATGTTGTATAACTAATCTGTTCCATTGATCAGCCTCACTATTTCTTAACCAGTATGAAATAATTTTGATGATTACTGTTTTTTATTATATTTTCATGTCTGGTGCTGCTAGGCTTCCTTCCTTCCTGTTTCCCCCTCATTATTTCCCTTGAGATTCTTGACCTTTGTTCCTCCAAATGAATTTCATAATTACTTTTTCTAGATCTATAAAGTAATCCTATGATAGTTTAATTGTTAAGGCACTAAATAAATTGCAGTATTGTCAATTTTATCATATTCACTCAATCCACCCATTAACAATTGATAGCTCTCCAATTTCTTTTTAGTTTATTTTTATTTTCGTAAGGAATGTTTGGTATTTGTATTCATATAGATCCTGAGTGTCTTCACAATAGCTCATCATTGTTAGCATTTTTTTCTCATTCTCCATCTTAATTCCTAAATTGGGACTTTGTATTAAATTAGACTCAACTTCTAGAGGGAATGTTTGAGCCTTGTATAGTCCTGGTCTGCATTATCTAAGTCTGTATTTTCTGGGTTTTGAGTACTGTGTTCTGTGACGGGTGAAATCTGATTGAAATAACTGAGGAAACAAAGGTTTGAACTTCTGAGCATATTGATTTATTAAGCAATACATGCCAATTGCATAAGAAATAGGCACCAAGCCTTCTGAGCTTGGCACTGGACCCTAAATACAGGAGGAGATAGATTTTTTTATGCATTAAAAGAAAACAATTAACAGGATATAAACTAGCATACAAGATTAGGTAATCTGATTTCTAATTGGAGAAAAGATTAGGAGCTTTCCAAGTTGGGAGAGGGAGAGCAAATAGGTGCAATTCCCAGATTTCAGAAAAAAAGGTGCTCCATTCCCCTCTGCTCTGTGTCTGTATTCAATTAAAGGAACATGTAAACAATAACTGATTAAGCAGTATGGGGCTTGTTTTCGGATAAGACATATTGGTTGCTTGAGGTGTATAATTATGAGGAAACTCCTTGTATCAATCTTCAGACCTGACTGGGTTTCTGGTCAGCACAACCTAGGTCCCTATTTAAGGGTCTCTAAGCAACAGGAGGAGGTAATCCAATTTCCCAGCCAATCAGGGATGGGTTGAAACAATGCAATAAGTTTTTCTCACAATTCCCATAATTGAATAAAAATTTCTCACAAGGCATAAATTGGACTAGATGCATAATAGAAAGGGAACTGAGCTAGATCCAGAATTGTCACGAGATGGAGTCAGTGTGGTTCATTCAATTCCCACAATTTCTGCGGTTCTTCAAAGAACTCAGGGTTGGCTTAGATTAGTGAGCTGCACAATTTTGGTTGACCCTAACCCAGGGGTGGGGAAACTGCAGCCTTAAAGGATTTGTTCTGTAAAATTTGGATTCAATCAAAAGGCCACATTGAAGGACCTAGAAGGCCACATGTGGACTTAAAGCAGCCAGTTTCCCACCTCTGCCGTAAACAGTCTGATTTAGGGCATGGTCTGAGTGCTGCCCACCGGGTCTGAGCCTTGACCTGGTCTTGATTCTGTTTTGGGTCTGTGCAACCCAACTACAGGCTTGTACCTAGATGGAGATCCAGCAAACAGATGATGGCCACAACTAGCCGTTGGCTTGCTAAAGGGCTCTCTACTGGTTCAAAGTGACAATTACTGTAACCCCCACATTCCTTTCTGCAACCTTTGCCTTGGACACTCACCTTTCACTTTGAATCTTTCACTTGAATTCCTTTCTGGAGTCAGAGCTCCTTTTCTGATTGTTGTACTGGATGAAGCAGCTTCTCTAATATGCTTAGACCACCAAAGCTGGGTTAATTCTTTTAGGTAACAGTAGCCCTAAGCCTGGGGTTTACAGAGCCTTCCAGGTCTACTGCCCAGGAGCTGAGGCAGCATAATACATTCAGTAAAAAGTAGTCTCTTTTAATCCTGATATCTCCACAGCTATTCAGATCTTGTTCTCTATAAACATTGAGACTTTTCCCCCTCCTCTATTCGTAAAAAGTGACAAAGGACAACATAAGGAAACCTTTAAGGGGCTTCTCCTATCTCAGGTTATAGTGTCAAATTCAAATAGAAATGGATTAGGCTACTTATTCACTTAGAAAACCACAAATTAACCTGATCTATGCTGTATTATATTTTTATCTATTTATCTATCTTTCTATCTAGCTATTTATTTATAACCAGCATCTTAATCTAGTTACCTCCTCACTTAGCCTCTTGTGGCCAGGCCGTGAATTTGACACTTCTGAGCAGGATAGCCTTTTTTTCACTCAGCTTTCACTCACCATAGAGCTTTCCTCCAATCAGATCGGCTCCCTGAATCAGCAGCAGAGCTTCTAGTTAGCTTCTACCAGCTTTATAGAAGCCTTCTGGTGTCTCTAAGTAGCTTTTTTCAGCTTTTCTGTGTCTTTTCAACATGGCTTCTGATCTTTTTGTTTGTTTAAATTTTAACAAGTAGACTTTCTGATTTTATTTCTTTTTCTATTTTTAGTTATCAACTACATTTTCACTTATATCTATCTCCCCATTCCAGAAAGCTGTCCTTTATATTAAAGGATTTTTTAAAGAGGAAGAAGAGAAAAAAATAGCAAAACAAATTAAGCAAAACACAAAGGATTGGAGTTAGGTCTCTTCTTTTATATCATCTTTCAAGGCCAAGCTTGGTCTGTATAATTTTCCAATATTCAATTTTGATTATTTTGTGGTTGTTATTCTTTCCATTTAAATTATGATAATCACTATGTATATTGCTTTCCTGGCTCTTCTTATTTCACATGATGAATACAAGTAATCACGAAAAGTCTTATATGAACAAATGTACATCAAAGAAGTCTTCTGATCTCTTTTCTTATTCTGGCTCCTAATGCCTCAAATCAGGGATTCTTCACATGTAGTGACCTATTTCTAACATAGATTGAGAAACTCCAAATTCATATTTCTGTCATATAAAAAACATAATCCATATACTATAATCCCATAGTTCCAAACCTTTAATTCAAAGTTTCCCAGCAATAAACTTTAAAATCCTGAAAACGATCATATTAAAATTAACTGATAGGAAACAGTGTACCACTGTCTCTAATATCAGTCAGTATTTTTGCTTCTGTGCTGCTTTCCCTCAGGTCCTCTCAGTACTTTTATCTGAGAGGCTGTTTTCTTGCTCTCATCCTCAGAACTGGTTTTCTCTGTGTTTCACACAAAATGTCCTTTTGCTGCTGCTTTAAATAAATAAAATGGCCACTTATGAGAGGGCCAGTAGGAAAATGTCTCATCAAAATGTACATAAAGACCTTGTCTTTGGCAATGAACTTGGGTGAATTGTTGCATTGTGTTGCACTGCTGATTCTCAGTTAACTTCTCTCCAAAAGAAAACCCTGCCTATAAACTCTTCTTCCTTAAAGTGAAAATCAACTCTTTACTGAATTCTTCTGAATGCATCTTTTACTGAAATGGTATGGTACATTACTGAACGAAAAGC